ACACATATTTTGCATTTTGCACACTTTTACTGCACCAGAACACTTCTATTCATGTATTATCCATTTACTGTTTTTTTGTACTTTTTATTAATGCATACTGTCTTTCAACTAGTACATGTGCACTCATGTAGTTCTCTTAATTTTTATGCAGCAGAGAAGTAGCCCAAATGTTTTGTTATACTGTATCCTCGTATATGTATAATAATGAATTGAATTGACTTTAGGGCCAAAACTAAAAAGTATGTTATGGATGCTGCAGCTGAGAAGGAGAAGAAGAACAAGAAAAACCCTCCAAAAAAAAAACAGCGTTCTGGCACTTTGTGCTTGGATCCCTAAAAATAGTAAGATTGTACAGAAACTTTGAAAAATCGGTTGAACTCCGACCTTTAAGTACCTTCCTCCGTGCCTGATTCTCGACACATCCAGTTTGCTATTTTTCATTAACAAGATTTGGGAGATGACTTTGGTGATGTAGGCTGTGCTGAATTTAATTGTAAGCTCTTTGAATTCTTTCTCAGCTGTTTTTTCGCTTGCACGAGACACTGCATGCGCTGAGGGAGTTTTCTTAGTAGCACTTTTTGCGAAGATGAAACCGCGTGCGTTTTTATGCGTTCGACTCGCCATGTTTTTTCACCGTCTTTTTTGAAATGATTCGTTCCTGTTAAGGAATCCATTTTTCCAGCTACATCTTTGCCTGCTTTAGAATAGAATTCGCAGTAAAGTCTGCTTTATGTTACCATAACTGAGTCACAAAAATTCCTGGAGCCAAGAAGTTCTGAGCATTCATATTAAGGTTGCATGGCCACGAATTGGATACGTATCCGAGCTAGGACCACATATGAAAGTGGCTCAGGTCGGATTTGAAAATTTTTTTTTTTTTGTGTCACTTCAACCTGGTAATGTGAACATAGCCTTAAAGGAGAATTCTGGTTTGAAGTGAAACCACATCAAACCACAGTGCCGGTGATAGGAACCAGACCCCCTCACAAAGTTAGGATCTGTATTGTAGACAAAATTTTTCCCCACTCAATGTCAGGACCTGGTACATAAAGCTGTTTCTGCCAAAGAGGGCTATACTAGTTTCTGAAACCAAGGATGTCCTTACTTTTTTCAACACAAAAAACATGACATCAGGTTTTTTTTTTTTTTATAAAATTCAATAATAAATTTCAATTTAACATTTCAATTGTTTTTTGCTCTATTACATAACACGTATCTATACATACTGTTTAACTGAAAATCAAATACTGATATGTATTCACACAGGTCATTACTTCTACTTTGTTTATGCAGTGATAACAGTGTTCATTGATAATGGTTTGTCAAAGTATCCCCAAGCCCATGTGGTGATATACATCACAGAAGAATGCTGGGTTTTAATCCAGTGCCATTTGAGGGATCAAAAGTTACAGATTTATACATTCCACAACAGTCCCAATCTTAAAATGCACCATTCCGACTCTTTTTTTGAAAGTGTTGCAGGTATTAATTTTAGAATAACTACATATTTACTGGTGGTTTCAGGAGGTTGAGAAAGCTGCAGCCAGAGTCATTACAAGAAAAATAATGTTTGACCTACATCGGCTGCCAGTCAAATTCCATATTACAAAATTCTGCTACTGACACACAAAGCTCTAAACAGTTTCACCCCTTGGTACCTGGGTAAACTTCTCTTATGCAGCACCATGATTACTTCACAAAGTGCTGGCTCACTATTAGCACCTAATATTAATAAATTTACAGAAAATAGAGCTTTTTCCACTGTGGTATGCGTCTAACAGTAGTTACGGGTTTTTATAGATCTATTTCTCATTTGATAATCTGAAAGGACACCAACAGTAGTCATTGGTTATCAGTGGTTAATCTTAATACTTCTGCATGATGACAGGCTAATTTCTTTTCTTTATTCCATTTTCACTTTGGTATGTTCATCATCATTTTTTTTGTTATTCATATTGCTTTTGTTGAATTATTGTTTCATTTGTTAGTAAAAATGACACAGGAAAATGGTGCAACAACTCAAATATAATGTATCTCAATGCAAAATAGCAAAGAACTCACCATCTTTGGTATACATCATTAAAAGATCTCTGTATGCAAGGGCCGAAAACCACTATTGGCTGGCAGTGATCTTCAGACCCTCAGGCAGCACTGCATTAAAAACAGACAAGATCCTGTAGTGGAAATTACTGCATGGGCTCAGGAGCACTTTTGAAAACCACTGTCAACACAGTTTGTTGCTGCATCCACAAATGCAACACAAAACTCCATACCATGCAAAGAAAAAAACATTTATATACAATATCCAGAAATGGCACCGCCTTCTCTGGTCCTAAACTCATTTAAGATGGACTAAGGTGAAGTAGAAAAGAGTCCTGTGGTCCAACAAATGAAAATTTAAAATTCTTTTTGGAAATCATGAATGCCACGTCCTCTAGGCTAACAGTAGTTACTGGTTTTTATAGATCTATTTCTCATTTGATAATCTGAAAGGACACCAACTGTAGTCATCGGTTATCACTGGTTAATCTAAATAATTCTGCCTGATGGCTAATTTCTTTTCTTTATTCCATTTTCACTTTGGTATGTTCATCGTCATTTTTTTTTTTTGTTCTTATTGCTTTTGTTGAATTATTGTTTCGTTTGATAGTGTTCACAAAAAGAGGAAAGGGTCCTCGTCTGAGTCTTAGCTACTCTCAAGGTTACTGCTATTAGGTAGCAAATGCACACACGAGTCATGTCATTCTGCCAACTTCAGAGTCACCAACCCTTTTTTACAACGCAGGGGCTTTTACTGTTTATGATAGTGTTGTAGTACTTCAGTCCAGTCTTGGTCTTGATACCCCAAACAAGCAGTCTCAGTCATATCCCGGTCTTAGAGTAAGGTGGACTCTCACTCTAAAATTGTTGTCAAGACCAGCCGTGTCCAATGCCTCCATCTGAGGTAACTGGAAGCCAGATTATGATTGAATATCACCAAATCCAAAATAAACAGAATAAAACAGTCCTTTCTCTGTGTACTAAACTCACTGCTCTACGCCATTCTCTGCACTGTGTCACTGATACGCACGCCCTGAGGCAATTGCAGAGCTGGAAGACAAATGAAAATGAAACTGTCACCACTAGTGGGTACTTTTGATTTTTGAACATGATTAGAGAGGGAGGGGGCAACGAGTAAAATGAGTCGCCAAATATACTTTGGCAACGTCGGAAATGTGGAGTTATATATTCCCTGTTTGAGTGGAGCAATCGGCAATCTGCTCTCCTGTAACCAAGTGTGAGTGACGAGATAAGTGGCGTAAATAGTGGCCTACAGCGAATTAATTTCTATCCTAACATCCCAACTATCTTTAGCAGCGTTTAATCACATCTGCTCCACATAAATGTGTGTTACAGCACTGTCATATTTCAGTGTTAGTGCACTCTCAAGCAACAAAAGTAAAACAAAGAAGTGAATTCATATAAGTTACAGCCCTGATTTAAAAAAAAATTAAACTGAGGATGCGATGCTTTATGTGTGGCATTGGAGAGTGGGAGAATGCTAGCTCCCAGGCTAGCTGTTTTTTGCAGCTGGCTAACTTGAAGCAGCGCTCTGTCACTCACACAGCACGGCGATTTATGTTACCGTAGATCAAACAAGACAAAAAAAAAGCACTGATTTCAGTTTAAATGTACCTAAAAGAACTCTGTCTGTCTAGTGTTAGAGAATCACATTGCAGTTATTGCTTTTACACAGCGAGCGTCTGACACATTGCGGTCTACCCCTCAAACTACTACAACAGAACAGAGAAATCCTGATGTCTGCTAGCTTGTTTGAATACTGTGACATGCTCGGACATAGATGTGGTAGGAGTGATGGTAAAGTGGTGTGATCCATCATTGACGTACCGAGCCATCTAATGTTTGCTGTTCGTATCAAGCTAACAGTGTTGAGAAACTAACAGTTGAAAACTTGTAACCAGATAGCCTAGCACTCGTCACCACAGCTAAAAATAATTTTCTTCCTTAAATTATCAATATTACAAAAATCGCAGCTGTGCATTTCCAGCTGTTAAAAACAGCTGACCCAAAACTTTCTCCCACTATCCCATGACAAATGTGTTAAATGTTCCACTGTTTGGCAAGTGTTTGTCATGTTCTGGCCATAAAGGATAGTTTAAAACAACAATTAACCACTCAGAAGCAAAAATCAGTCTTGAAACTTGAAAGAAATAATGATTTGACATTTATCGTGATATGTATTGATATCGACTGAACATTATATATGAACATTTTTATTGTGATAAAATTTTTGACCATATCGCCCAGCACTAGTGAGTCATATATATTTTTATTTTTAATCTATTATATAATTTCTTTAAGGATTAAAGATCAAAGTTCAAAGATCAAAGTTATCCAACATGCAAATCAACCATATGAAAAAACAGAGCTGCCTTTTGCAAGCACACTATGATAAGCAGTGATTAAAAGAAACCCCCCAAGAAATGAGGAAAAAACGTCTGGAGAGAATAATAAAAAAAAAAAAATCAAAGCTCCTAGGGCATTACCAACCGACAGTGAGAGCCATTATCTACAAATTGACAACCCCAGGAACACTGGTGAATCTTCCCAGGAATGGACAGCCTATCAACATTTCGCAGAGGGCATGGAGACTCTCAAATATCCAGAGGAAATATTATTTTCTGTTCTGTATTTGAGAATTCTTAAGGAGAGTGTCTGTTCATCTGTGCATGAGCTGAAGCTAAAACACAACCGAGTTATGCAGCAAAACAATGATCCAAAAGCGAACAGCAATCCACATCTAAACAGAATCAAAAATACTAATTCTGCACCTACAAACCCAGTCATGCAGCTATCCATCCATCTACTATCTATGTGCTTTAAATCATGCAGTTGAGAGCTATACAGAAGGACAGACAATTCCCCTGGATCATTTGAAACTGGTCATATCAAAAGAGAGGCTCTACTCATAACCACGATAAATATTAGTTAGGCTTTACCACAGATGATTCCAGGTCCATCTTCTTCATTTGCAGCTCTATTATTTCTGAGGACCTGGTTTCATGTGAACATTCCATCAGTTTGCGGAGCTCCTCGGTTTTACAGCTTAAGGTTTGAGACTGCAACTCCAGCTTGTGTCTCATCTGTTTTTCCAGGAGTCGAGCCTCATCCAGGTCAGCTTTTATTTTCTCCACCTAAACAGAAACTGGATGCTTTGTATAAAATTAATTTGGAATCCCTGCATCAGAAGGTTCAAAGCAATGCTTTTAAAGCATTTCTATAAAATTACTCATTTGAATGTAAAGGAAATCACCATTTTTGTCATTGAATATTAACTTTCAATCTCAGGAACCTTGAGTAAATAATTTGATCAGTTTTATACACTGCTGTTCAAGGTTGAAGAAATATGATATTATCAATAAAAAACTTTGCAATGAAGCATTCAAACCCTGTGACATTGAAAGGCAGTAGAACAGATAGTGGCTGGTGTCAAGTTATGTATTTCTAGGCAAAAAAAATACTGCTGTACTAAAGAAAAAATCAATTTATTTGTTTAGGTTAAGGTCTGACCTTGCTCTTGAAGACACTGAGTTCCACTGCATGGTTCCTCTCCAACACTGTTTGTTGCTGCTCCAACAAATGTTTCTGTTGGTTTTTAACGTAATCAAATTCTGAATGAAGGCTGTCCAGCATTCGTCCCTTTAGCTCCATTTCTCTCTGCAGGGAGTATTTCTCTTGCTCAAGGCCCTGTTAATAAAGTACACATCTCACTGTTTTTTCAGCATGGAGAACATAATGGATACTACATTGCCTAAGGTAATACATGAGAAAAGTAATTTTTTTCTTTATTATTAAGGTCAAAGCAGTACATCATTTCTATCATAAATTCAAATTGCTGAAATTTCAAGGTTACTGTTTTTTCCTTACTATATCAGTCTACATATCAATAACCATAACATTCAACAGCTTTTAGTCAGAAGTCAACAGCCTCTGACACAGAATTCTGTAACCTAATTAAAATAAACAATTTTTTCCTTATGTGTTGCTTTAAGTTGCTTCATTATTTGCCATTAATTATAATACACACTCAATAACGAAAAAAAAAATCTATCATGGACAACCATGTTCAATTTTGGTTGTTCAATTCATGTACATGGTAAAAAAATATAACAGACATTGCTTTCAGTATAACTATGAGGTAGAGCTGGGCAATTAATTGGAAAGTAATCGAAACCAACAGTCAGAGCCTCTATCCGATGTGATCTTGCACATGTTGGTTATTTCGATGTTCTTAAAATTCTGTTAATCCTTTCCCCACTCTGTGTGTTCATGTACTGTCCCCTTAAAAACTTACTACCGCGCATGTAGTCACGTGACTCTGCCACATCCACTCTGCGATATGAAAGTTAAGGCTATGTTCACACAACAGGTAAAAGTGGTTTTCTGATTTTCTTATCAAATCAATTTTATTTTTGTTTGACCGTTCACAATATTTTTTAAATGTGATCTACATGCGACATCGGTCTGAACAGATCAGCTCCTATACTGACCTGCATGTGCAAAAGAATAACGCTTCACGCTGCTTCACGTAACTCATCCAGAGGTAAACAATCATGACCATAGACCACTGTAGTTGTGTCGTCATTTTGTAGTCGGCGCCATGTTCTTATGCCCACATTAGGAACTCCTGGTCTAAGCTCCATAACTCTATGGCCAGAATGAATAGGGTTTTTGAAAAATCGCCTCTATTACACCCTGTGTTAAATAAAAATGTTCAGAACCCGATACAGCCACTTCGCGGCCACTTTTATTAGCGGCCGTGTTAGCCGTGTTATTTTGGTTTTGTACAGAGAAAATTTAGCCATGTGACAATTTAAATTTACTTTGTCCCGTGATGGTTGTTGGGTTGATGGGAGGATTTTTATTTTTCCGATTTTTTTTCCTTTTTCCATCATTTCATTTGACTCAGTGAATTATCCAGCACTACATTATTTTTATTTTTTGAAGTGCTTCTGCTTTTTTCAGGTGCATTTGTTCTGTCCTGTTCACAGAACTCCTCTGCCACCTAAGAAGGTCGGTAGATTGGTGTGGGGGGGGGGGGTCAAAGTCAGAAGCCTCATTCTCAAAAGGCTGAGACTGAGAATCAAGTGAGAATTAAAGGCATGAAAAAATACACAATACCTGCAAAAAGACATTGTAAAGAAATTTTCAATTTGCGTTATAGTTCTTAAACTTTAAATATTAAATGAAATAACAAATACTAACTATATACAATTGTATTGAGTAATTTACAAATGAATAAATCCAAAGAAAAAATAAATAAATAAAAAGCAAAAAAAACAGTCAGACAGAATAAACATGAGGTGTTCTTTATTAGACACTAAGAAACATTATTTAATACAAGTGTTAAATACTTATTAACTAATTACTAATATTACTAATTACTAATATTACTTATGTCTTAATAATGTCCATGGTTTATTAATGTTAATAAATGTAGTAAATAATTTTCACCAAAGTATTACCAAAATAATTACAGCAAAAGAAGAAAGAAAGTATGAAAGGAATTGCAAAAAACTTGGACTCTTAATTTATAAGACAGGGACCGCAAGCATCTAGAAGATGAAATGTTCATTACACAATTAAACATTTAATCTTGCAATTTCTACAATAAAACTGAACTGCTTTCCCTATTATTTCCATATACATTTTAAGTTTGTCCCTTATCATTATTTAAATACAAAATACCCACTGATTTGCAATAAGCCTACAAAACAGAATATCAATGTTTAATTATCCTTGCCTGTCAAGTTTAACAAAATGTGTGGTCTAGTTCAGCATACCTTAAATAGAGTGTGAGTAGTGTTAAGCAGAAGCAGACAACAGTCTATCAGGGAGTTACAGAAATATTAAGATTAGTCTCCCATAAGGAGAAAATATATATATATTTCAAATTTACTTCTGAAATATATTTTTGCAATATATGAAAATGGCCAAAACGTATTTCTTAAATATATATTTAAAATGCATTTAATTGTATTTGTTATTATATTTTTCAATTGTATGTAATTTTAATGAAGGTTAAAGATGTAACTAAATATACATGAATGGCACTGACTGCTGTGTTTCGCATTGTACATTGCATTAAGACATTCACACAAAATGTATGCCAAATAAACAAGATATCAAATCGTCAAACTACATTTTAACAGTGTATCAATATCCACAACACTTGCTTTTGTTCAGTTAAAGGTCCATTTACCAATATTTACTATTCAGATACTGGAGCACAAATTCATTTCAAAAGATACAAATTCACTTCAAAAGGCGGCCGTTAATAAAAGTGGCCGTGATGTGGATGATCAATGGCGGCCGCTAATAAAAGTGGCCGTGATGTGGCCGCCACTGATAAAAGTGGCCGCGTTGTGGCTGCGAAGTGGCCGTGATGTGGTTGCTCAATGGCGGCCGCCAATACAAGTGGCCGCGATGTGGCCGCTCAACTGCGGCCGTTAATAAAAGCAGACTTCAGCTTCATGGAGGGTTGAAAGGCATGATATGAGAAGGTTTCTCCATTTCCGCTTAACAGCTGAGTAACATTAACTTACTTTTGCTGTTTCACAGAACCAACAGGTCAGTATTTTCTATCGTTTGCTAATGTTTGTGATAGCTAGCTAGTCACAGCTGCTGCACCATTTGAGGTAGAACGGTAGCATTCAAACAAGAAGCTGGCGAAAAAAGAAGATTAATTCAACCTCGTAGTTTTAACATGGGTAGTATTTTTGATAAGGAGTTTTAGCCTATCAAAATAACATACCTTTTTGATATCATAACATTTCAATAAGGTAGCACAGCATGTCAGAGCACCGCCACAGCCTGCCTTAGTTTCGTGTAGCTTAGTGACATCAAATTGATGCGCAGTAGCTTTAGCTCGCATGTAGCAATGTTAGTATTTTAGCTCTTTAACGACCTCGTAATTCAGAGGATCCAGGGGTATTTGGGAGAAAAATGTACACAGGACAAAACGTATTGGGTTCTAAACATTTTTATTTAACACAGGGTGCAATAGAGGTGATTTTTCAAAAACCCTATTCATTCTGGCCATAGAGAAATGGAGCTTAGACCCGGAGTTCCTAATATGGGCATAACAAGGACTACAGAATGACGCATGACTACAGTGGTCTATGAACGAATGTCAGTCGCTCCCGGTGCTTTCAGTTTCATCTTCGCCAGCATCACAGGAGCGATCATGAAGTTTCACTGACTGAGAGCTGGGCACTGTCACTTCTTTGGTTCGCGTCCTCGGATTCCTAAACTTTTCGTTGACGCTGCAGCCTCGCTCTCATACGGGTGCGTATAGCCATTTCTTTCAAAATCGCTACAAACAAGGAGGTGTTTTGGATAAGTCTCTTCTAATTTTTGTACGGAAATATCACGCCAAATGTTTATTTGGTCTCAGCAGCACGAAATTATAACTATGTCCAGTTGGATTTACATAAAAGTCGCATGAATTCAAATCTGGCCGTTAAACGATTTACATTAAGATATGCAAAGCATATTTATGGTACAAACCATGTCAGTAAACTATGAGGGCAAAAAAAAAAAAAACAAACAAAAATTAAAACAAAAAATAATTGTTCGTTAATTATAATCAAGGTAAAACATTCAATTAATTGTGATATTGATTTGAGGTCATATCGCCCAGAGCGGTCCTTTAATTCTTACAAACAAGTGCCCATCATAAACCATGAAAATATCTGAAAACATCTAATCTTGAAAAAAGCAAATAAAAACATCCATCTTGAAGATGGGTCCTATGATTTCATCAATAAATATGTAATGCCTTTTCTTCAAAAATCAACAAAATATGAAATTTAGCCAGTTGCATACAACTGTTGTATTGTGTATGTATTTTTCCCCCAGACTCAGATTTCAAGTAGATTTGAAGTATGCAGCAGAATATTTAAAATGGAACAGTCATATTTAGTGCACTAGTTTTTAGTGTCAGAGGGAGCTGCATGGTGCAAATAGTAAGAAAAAACATGGTCTTTGCAGTTAAAGCCAATTCTGAGAAAAAAGCAAAGAAAAAAAATGCACCAGTGACATCTCTAGACATGTTTTAAACAGAGAGAGGAATAACTGCAGTGGCATTATTTTTCCCATTAATAAACTCCCATCCACTCACACACAACAGAAACTGTGTTTTCAGGTAACTCTGCTGAGCCAAGACAAACATTTTGTAATGTTTTCAGGCAAGCTCTTTTTCCCGCAGCTAAAGCAGTGTTGATTCAATTACAGGCAATCTACCTGAGTTTGGGATTTCTGCTTTTGTGTCTGTGGAAAGATTTCAGTCTTAGTTTGATGCTGCTTCAAAAGTGCAAACTTGAGAAGGTTCTTGAAATTGAAACTGGTTTGAAGTTTTTTTTTATGTGTCTGAAAGATAAGCAGCCAAAGGAAGACCAGGACAAGCAGGTGCTTCAACAGTGAACCAGGGGGGCACTCGCTGTGGAGGGAGAAAGCACTGTGCCAAGCATGACTTGAAATGTTTTGAAAACACAACTGTTTCTTTTAAGATGTAAAAAAATCAAGGTGCATCATCAGGTGCTGTCAAGTTGTTTTATGTCATGAACTTTTTAACTATTCCCTCTTTCACAGTCTTTCAGAAATGTGCAAAAGTGCTAAGGTAAATGACCACCAACAGACCAGCGGCAAAAGAGGGGGTGTGGCTGTACTGTGCAGTACAAATACAA